GGGGGGGAAAACCAGAACACACAAAAAAAAAAAAAGTAAATTTAAAAAAACAAAAATAAAAAACAAACCACTCTCCACAGTATACAAACCACTCCAAGTAACTCCTGGTTTTCTAACTCCTACTTGAAAGAGTCTACTTAATAGAAGCTGCTTTCAAATAATGTGAGCAAGCTCAGTGAGTTAGGGGTGTGCCTTTATGGGGGGTGGCAGAAAACCAGAACAAAAAAAAAAAAAAAAGTAAATTTAAAAAAACAAAAATAAACAAACAAACCACTCTCCACAGTATACAAACCACTCCAAGTAACTCCTGGTTTTCTAACTCCTACTTGAAAGAGTCTACTTAATAGAGGCTGCTTTCAAATAATGTGAGCAAGCTCAGTGAGTTAGGGGTGTGCCTTTATGGGGATACAAATCCCACACAGGTGTAATTAATAAACACTCCCCCAATCAATCAAGCAGCAGCACACAAAAAAGGGGGGGAAAACCAGAACACAAAAAAAAAAGTAAATTTAAAAAAAAATTTAAAATAAAAAAACAAACCACTCTCCACAGTATACAAACCACTCTCCACAGTATACAAACCACTCCAAGTAACTCCTGGTTTTCTAACTCCTACTTGAAAGAGTCTACTTAATAGAGGCTGCTTTCAAATAATGTTCTTGTTCTTGTTCAGCAGTTGGAAGATCATCCGCACAGAGGAGTAGATCATCCACGTACTGGAGCAGGACCACGTCAGGGTGAGACTTCTGCCAAGGTTCTAGGACAGCTGACATAGCTTTTGCGAATTGGATTGGGGAATTCTGTGCACCTTGAGGCATAACAGTCCAAGTATACTGTTGATGATCTTGTGTGAAGACAAACAGATATTGACAAGAGGGATCTAAGGGCACGCTGAAAAAGGCGTTGGCAAGATCAACCACAGTGAAGAATTTAGCTGTAGGAGGGACTTGTGACAACAGTGTATGTGGATTCGGGACAACAGCAGTGTCTCGGCTGGTGACATCATTAACAGCGTGTGGGTCTTGAACCATACGGTATTGGTCAGGTTGGCCTTTTTCAGTCTTCTTCTTTACTGGAAATAGAGAGGTGTTACACTGTGAACACACTTGACCAGAGCACCTTTTGCCAATAGACTTTCAACTTGCTTTGAGATGGCGAGGGCTTGTGCAGGCTTCAATGGGTATTGTGGTCATCTTGGTGGATAAGCTCCCTTTATTAGTGTAACTACCACAGGTGGGACTTGTAGGCGTCCGATGTCATCAGGACCTGTGGACCAAAGTTTAGCTGGGACCCTATTGAGGGCATCTGGGACCCTTACCTCCTCGGTGGGGGATGTCATGTGTAGTAGTAATGGCAGAGAGCAGAGGACAGAAGTATCTTTGTGAGAAAGGGGGGTTAATAATTGGACCTGGCCATCAGCAGTGAAAGAGATAGAGGCTTGAAGACAGGACAGAACATCAGCACCTAAAAGGTTAATTGGACAAGTGGAAGAAACAAAGCATGAGAGTATGTCAGAACCCACCGCAAGAGCTTAGTTAATGGGTTGTTTCTAGGGGTGCCATCGACACCAACATAAGAGACATCTGTGTCGGATAAGCAAGATGGGTCAGGTAGGTCTTGTTCTCTGAGAACACTGCGGGCTGCACCTGTGTCAACTAAAAAGGTAGAAGTATGACCCTCAACTGGTAGGACAACTGTGGCAAGAGGCCCCCCTTTGTCCCCTGTAGACACTGCCATGACAGGGGTGTTAGACACAGGTTTGCCAGTTACCTATTGCACAAGGTCTAGATGAGATTGATCAGGGCCAGTGTAGTGACGTGTGGGTGTGGTGGAGTGACTGGCCTGATGAGTCTGTCGTGTAGGGCGATGTTGACTGGGTACAGGACTGTCATCTGGTTGGTAATCATCTGTATCATAACTATCAGGGGAAGGGTGAGCATAGTTGTGGGAGAGGGTTGGGAGATGGCTTGGGCATATTCCTGAGAGGGGAAATACGAAGTATGTGTCTGGGGATGTGCCTGTGGAGGAAAACAACCATATGTGGCTGCAGGGGCATTGGGGTACATAGGATAGCCGAACACAGGATTAGACGGTCTAGTGGTCGGCTGTCTAGGCACTCTGGGGTGAGGGCAATCTCTCTGGAAATGGCCCAGTTGGTTGCAATTAAAGCATGTCCTAGTCTGAGGCCTAGGGGCAGGTATCATGGGTTGTCCCTGTGCAGCTGGCAGGGTTGATGACACGGGATATCCTGGGGGGACCGGGGCGGGTCTGATGGCAGGGCTATAAGCGGAAAACATAAGGGGATTACTTTTCCTTTGTGGTGGTTGTAGGACAGACTCTAGGCATTTGGCAACCAGTAAGAGAGTATCCAGAGGAATAATTCTATATTCGGGACGGGAGAGCACTAGGCCTTTCCTGATGGCTTCCTTAAGGCCTGCAACAAAGGCATCAGATAACATCTGGGTATGTATTTGTAAATGGTGGTGGATTCAGCGCTTAGTGTCTCAATGGAATAATGTAGAGTATGAATATAGGCAGCAACCTAAAATAAAGACGTTCCCTCACAGTACGTCAAAGAAGTGGGAAATCTAAAGGAAAGAAGGTATTAGGTCGCGCCAGAAAATGAATGTAACAAGATAAAACATCAGGACCCGTGGACCAAAGTTTAGCTGGGACCCTAGCTCACCTATATTGGAGCTTGAACTAGCTCAGGTGTACTTCACATTCAGTGGTATTGGTTCCCCACTGGTGGGATATAGACGTATGCACGTAACGGAGATCCTCGAGAGAGAAGAGGGTAACACAGAATAGTGCTTACTGTATAAATGTTGTAATTACGTAGAAATAAAATATATATAGAATACTCACATTTAAGTGAGCAGGATAAACTGC